CAAGGGCTCGTTTGGAACTACTTCATCGAGCTCGACATCACCCCACACTTCCACGACGGCCTCCTCTGCGACCTCCTACCGCAAGGGCGATGGGAAGTCAAGATTTGGAGATGGCAGGCCCCGTCGTGTTTTTCAGACCATCACTGAAGATCAGCAAGCTGAGGACTCCGGCGGCAACCATGACTACATCAATGATGATGATGAGTACCTCTTGCCGGACTCCACCGATAACCAGATTGAGCATGCTGTTCTTGCGGCTGAACATCAGCCGGATGATGATGAAGAAGCCGGCGATAGTGCTGGCGAGTTGGATGAGCTGACCCGCGTCCTCACGGTGACAGCCAAGAAATTGGCATCCATGAATCAGGGGCGCAAGTTCCGAAACGCCCCGAAGAAGAGCATCGAACAGAGGAAGCAGGAAAGCCTTTGTGCTGCATGCGGTCAACTTGGCCACTGGGCAGGCGACAACGCCTGTCAGGTTTCCTCCAAAGGCCAGAAGGCCGGCAAGGGCAAAGGATCTCCTGACAAGGCCAACAAGGGCTTTGATGGCGGCAAAAAGGTGTTCACCGTGAACCACTACACCGGATTCGACATCGGGGACGAATTTGAATTTGAAGAACACTCACCTTTTTCTCCTCATGAAGTATTGGTTGTTTTTCAGAATGCCACCCATGTGAACTTCAAGAGCAGCAAGGCAGCACACTTCATGATTTTAGACACGGCCTGCCAGAAATCTTGTTGTGGACACGAGTGGTACATCGAGCACCAAAAGATTCTTGAACGAAATGATCTACATGCAGTACTTCACCCCCAAAGTGAACGTTTCCAATTTGGTGCTGGCGAACCACTGGTATCCAAGACCTTGGCACTCCTTCCGATCGGCATCGACAAGCGCATGTGTGTTTTTGGGGTCAACATCCTGGACGCCTCCATTCCGTTTTTGGGTAGCTTGAACCTCATGAATCAGATGGGCCTCCAGTTGGACCTCGCTAACCAAACAGCCATCATTGGAGCTTTCGACAACCACAAGGTCCCCCTCACCAAGGTTCTGGGCCACCTCGCATTGTGCATCACAGATTTTTCCATGGACTCCCATTTTTCCACCTTCGTTCATGAGCAGTGCAGTTCATGTCCGCCTCACAAGACGGAGTTCATCTCTTTTGATGCACCGCCGCAGCCCCAGCAGATGGACCAAAAAGACGTCTTGGTGAAGACGCCATCAGCTCCCCCGGATGTTCGACACTCCGACCCACACCGACCTCTCATGGGCAAGCCTCGTGAAGAAGCTGCTGCGTCTCCGCAGGAGCGTGTGGGTGCAGATGCAAGCTGCCGTGAAGATAGGCATCGTCGGAATCAACTACCTCAGCAAGGCAGCAGCAAGCACCGAGGAGCCTCCAAAGGGGCGAATGACAGCGATCAAGAGCAAGGCAGCCAAGCCGAAGAAGACTTCCCAGGCATCTTCCTCACAACAGCCACCACCGGAGCTCGAGCTGAATCTCCCACCTCCAAAAGGACAAGTTGCCAAAAAGGGCAGTTCAACGACCAGCCAAAGACCAGTATGTCCTCATCCCGACTTCATCAGGTACGGGAACGGCTGGGGCAGTTTCGCTCGATGCAAGGTGTGCTACCAACGTTGGAGGTGGAACGCCGCAGACGGCGTATGGAAGTCGGATGGCTGCTCCTCAAGTCCCTCGCCGTTGCCGCAGTCACCTTGGATGGGAGTGGGAACTCCTACCATGGTCTACGAGGAACCCTCGGACCTGACAGCGAACCTGGGCACGGGCTACCAAGTGGCACAGGAGCCACCCTGCGTGATCTATGGTCAGATTGGGACGGGAGCGCAGGAGCCTTTGCCACCGACTCGGCGCAAGCCCAAGCGAACATCCAGAGCAGCATCAATGACATCTTCAGCCGCGGGCCATGGTCTGACTGCCGAAGCACTGCAGGACTTCGACTCTCTGATGAGCGGCAACCAGAGCCACGGCCGAGGAGCGAGCATCTTAGAGTGGGGGTCAGGAAGCAGTTGAGCGGCTCCATCAACAAGAATGTCAAGATGCTGGAGAATGAGGTCTACATCCTCAACAAGCTGCCGAATAAGGAGACGCTCAGCAATAAGGTGGACCTCATGGAGCTCTACAGTGGCGAAGCACGGCCGACCTCCTTGGCACCCCGCTATGGACTCACCTCCATCCAGCCCTTTGAGTTGCAGGATGGATACGACTTGGATGCACCACATGTCCGGGGCTGGGTTGAAGAAGGTCAGACAAGAAAAAAGCCACTGCTCCTTCTACTTGGACCGCCATGCACGAACTGGTGCATCTTCAACGAGAACCTGAACTACAGGCACCGGATGGACCAGCTATCTGCACTTCGAGCTCAAGAACGCCCTCGAGTGAAATGGTCTGCTGAGAGATGTCTTCATCAGGCCAATCGTGGTGACCTCTTCTTCTTCGAGAACCCACTCAAGAGCCGGATCTGGTCAGAACCGGCCGTGCAGAAGCTTATGAACCATCCGGACACGGTCAAGGTGACCTGTGATGGTGGCGCCTTCGGGGCGCAAGATGAGGATGGCTACAACATCACCAAGACCTACGGCGTCCTCACCAATTCCAAGGCGAGAAGAATGACCAAACAGGAGAAGACATTTTGTCGACCCCCCCAAATCCAAGCACGTGATGGCATCTCAGGTGCACCCCATCAAGATGGTGCACGCAATTCTCCAAGGCCTAAGAGAAGAAGCCCTTCAACGTGATCCAATTCGCTTTGAACCACCTCAGATCGTGTTCTATGCCAGGCCAGTCGCCGACGAAGAAAGATGGCGAGAAGCACTGGACATGGTGAAGAAGACCTTCGGCGCGTCTGCCAATAAGTCCGTCCAGCTGACCTCCACGAGCTCCATTTACAAGATAGTGGCTGACTTGGTGCCCTGGGAGCTCACACGAGTTCAAATCGCAGCCACTCCGGCTGTAAGAAGAATGCCGACGGACGTCCTCTACACCCACCGTGGGCTAGCTGTGGTCTACAACGACTCCACCATCGACGTTGAAAGCGAGGACCTCAGCATGATCGAACACCCGAAGCAGCGCTTTGCTCGACCGGTCGCCCATGGCATCTTCTTCTACGGCAACGCCGAGGACGACCCGAAGCCAGTGGATGAGGCAGCAGTCCCGCCGGAGCGTCGCATTCCGGGACTACGCACCGATGTGAACTTTCCAAATCTGCCACCTTCCGGATTCCATACCTCGAGAAGTACAAGCATCAGTGGCGCGGCTTCACATCAACGCTGGTCATCCAAGCCGACAGGAGATGATCAGACTGTTCACCATGCACGGTGCCATCACTGCCCAAGTCATCTCATGCCTCGACCATCTACAATGCGGCACCTGCAAGAGGACGAAGACACCACAACAACCTCGACCAGCTGCCGTACCAGTACTCACTGGACAGTTTGGTGACAGACTGCAAATGGACCGCTCCTGGGTCCGTGATCTCAGTGGATCAAACCACTGCTTCCTTGGAGTCGTGGACATGGCGACCAACTACCAGCAGGCCATTCGACTGACTGGCAACGGCTCCAATGATGTCTATGAAGCACTGCGTCAACTATGGCTTCGACCTTTTGGTCACCCTCTGATGATTGAAGGTGACGACGACAGGAACTTCGGAGGAGTCTTTAAGGAGCGACTGGAAGCAAATGGCACACATCTCGTCATCGTGCCAGGAGAAGCACACTGGAGGATTGGAACCATCGAGAGAAAGAATGCCATCCTCCGACAAGTCGCTGAACGATTGATCGATGAGCGTGGTGCCTGCACAGGAAACGACCTGGACGACATCATGATCGCCTCTCTCCAGGCCCTTAACAGTTCAGTCACTAGCAAGGGAAGAACTCCATACCAGGCTGTATTCAGTCGCCTCCCACGTTTTCCTGGAGACCTACTTGGCGACCCTCATGCACTGCTGGCTAACTATGACGCCACCTATGCCGCCACGCACTCCGCGTGATAGCTGAAGTTCGAGCAAGCCACGTGATTCGCAGAGCTCTCCTGCGCAAGACCGCCGCCTCAAGAGAAGAAGCTCAGTCAATCCTACCAGGTGCAATGGCCGCCTACTGGCGATGGCAGAAGAAAGCAAAAGGGCGCAAGAGAGGCGGCTACATCCTATGTCGCCTCCTTTCTCATGACCCAGATCAGAAGTCAGCCTGGGTGCACAACGGCAACTCGACCGTCCAAGTGACCTATGAACAGCTGCGTCCTGCCTTTGGCATTGAGAACTGGTGTCCTTCCTCCGAAGACATCCAGATCTTGAAGAACGGTGCACAGCAACTGCAGCAAGGACTCGGGGGTGATGAACGTGGACCTGGACCTCCTGCTGATGAACCAGTACTACCAGAAGTGGCGCATGAACAAGCACCTGAACTGGCAGACCTCGTCATGCCACTTGTCCCAAGCGCTTCAACACCTGCTTCAGCGTTAGCGACGCCGGCGCTTCCGACGGGATCAATGCTTCCTGAGCCGGCTCAACCACCGGCGTACTCACCGACCTTCAGGCAGAAGAACATCCAGATCAACTTCGGGGCTCAACGCACGCCCCTCGGAATGCATGAGATGAGTCACCCATATGCAGCACCCTCCAGTGGAAACTACGATGCACTTCCTCCCGAAGTACCTCAACCGGTACTACATGCGCCCGATGTTCCGGTACCTCCAGACACAGAACCGGTACCAGCACTTCTACCAGTTCCAGCCTTGGGAGAAGAGCGGCCAATGACTGATCAACTGGCAACACAAGATCCGCCTGACGCAGAGCTGACCTTGGAACAACAGCTTCACCGTGACCTCAACACCGGCGAAGCCCTACCCAAGGTGCCTCGGACCTTCGCATCTCGAGGATGTCCACAACAGCTCACACTACCTCCTGACGGATGGGATGGCTCTCCTCTACTTGAACTACCAGAGACCTCCTATGTCTTCCGGGCTGCTGCTGGCCGAGGAAGATGAACCTGTGTCCTCCAGCTCATCGGACGATGAAAAACGGAAAGAGCCTTCCTCACTGAGCAAGCTCTCGCAACAAGAGAGAAAAGCCTTGGACCGAGAAATTCCCTGGCGTGAAATCCTCAGGCAAGACCCTGACATGATCAAGGCCTTCGTCCAGTCAAACATCAAGGAGTTCGAATCCTGGACGGCGTGGGACACGACTGTACCAGTCCCTGAGGAGGAGGCGGACAAGATCCTGAAGGACCCAATCCTTCGACGAAGGGTGATTCCTGCAAGGAACGCCTACAGAGACAAAAATCGGCAAGTACCACCGCTGAAAGCAAAGTGCCGCACCGTTGTGCTTGGATGCTTGGACCCGGACTTGAAGAGTCTGGAAAGGTGCTCACCTACACCTTCACGGGTGGCCGAAGCAGTCCTGCTGCAGATCGCGGCCTCCGGCTACAACAAGAAGGTGCAGCTGCAGAACAAGTCCTGGCGACTGTGGGGAGGTGATGTGTCCACAGCATTCCTTCAGGGAGCTCCTGAAGAACGCTCACAGCCACTCTACATGAAGGCACCCCGAGATGGGATTCAACGGTTGGCCGGAACTTTTCCTTCAACCCTCTACAAGATCACCGGCAACCTGTACGGCTTCTGCAATGCTCCCAGGACATGGACCAACCACGTCACCAACATCCTCCTCAACAAAGTCAAGCTAAAGCGTCACAAGCTAGAGCATATGATGTTCTATGGCACCGACAAAAATGGGCTGCTTGAAGTTGCAGTCATCGTCCATGTGGACGACTTCCTTGCCGTCTTTCGGCAAGATTACCCGGAGCAAAACCTGCTGCAGCACTTCACCTGGGGCAGCCAGTCCTACCTCACTGAAGAGTCCCCGATCATTTTCCGGTGAAAAGAGATCAATTTGGTGCGAGAGAACGACCTGCTTGTGATAAAGGTGACACAGATGGCCTTCATCAGGGAGCTGACGCCCGGCGCCCTGCCTCGAGGACGCCTCAGTGGAGCTGAGACCTTGAGCACCGCAGAATGGAAAGAGTACCGCAGTTGTGCGGGCTCACTTCAATGGTTGAGCGGCCAAACGAGGCCTGATGTGTGTTCGACAGTGTCGTTGAGCAACAAGGGCATGGACACTGGCCCAAAAGAACTCCAAGCTCTATACCAGTGCATCGAAATGGTGCGCAACACCTCTGACATCGGCATCATCTACTACCCCACCGGCTTCGATCGAGCTATGCACCTCGTCGCCTACGGCGATTCCAGCTGGGCTAACGCCCATCAGAGCAAATCCCAAATGGGGATCGTGATCCTCTGCTGCTCTCCCGCATGCCTTGACGGGACAACCCGAGCAAGCTTGCTCGACTGGAAGAGCACCCGCAGCCCGCGGGTGACGAGAAGCACATTGGCTGCCGAAGCCAATGCCATGGACGAAGCAGTAGACAGATGCTGCTACATCAATGCCTACATCACCGAACTGCTCTACGACCAGAAGGAGCCTCTCGGTGCCCGTCTTCTGAAGCAGCTGCAAGTGACGGATTGCCGTAGCTTGTACGATGCCGTCCTGGCACCGAACCCCGTGTTGTCCGAAAAGCGGACAGTGATCCAAGCGCGCTCCATACAGGAGTATGTGCAGGGCAAGGACCTGCGATGGACACCCACCACGGTGATGTGGGCCGACGGACTCACGAAGTCCGCTCCTGAACTTTTGAGCCTTTTTCAAGCATGGCTCAGGCGACCGGTGTGCACACTGGTGGCAAAAGAAAACAAAGACCAGTGTGAATTTTAGCCTTGTGCATCCTCATTGCCACCTGCCACCGATCG